AAAAAAAAAAAAAAAGACTAGAGATCAGGACAGAAAACTATTTCATGGTGCAGGAAAGAGGACTGAGGATAGGGGGCCGAGGCACTGGAAAGAGAAGAGATGATGCAGGAACTAGGGCAGAAGTAGGAATGTCACAAGCAATGGACTGGACAGTAAGTGAGCAGGGAAACCAAAGACAGCATCACTGTATCTCAATGGGCAACCAGGGACACTGGCAGATGAAGAAGAGCAGGAGGCCCACAAGAGCAGACCTGGGAGGCCAAGGGTTTGGTTTCTCTGGCGCCTCCAGGGAGACCTAGGTATCTCTCAAAGGTTCAGATTACCTGGCCCTGGAAACGGGAGGCTGCCCCAGAACTGGTAAGAAGGAGCAGAAGAGGCATGAGGGCACAAGCTCTGGAATCTCATTACATTTTCTAGATCAGTAGAGAAGAACCAAGAAGTGAGATTGAGGAGTGGCCAAGAAGAACTGAAGGCTGAGTGCAATGACCCATGCCTATAATCCTAGTACTCTGGGAAGCAGAGATGGGTGGACTGCTTGAGCTTATAAGGTCAAGATCAGGGTGAGCAAGAGAAAGACACCATCTCTACTAAAAATAGAAAAACTAGCTGGGCATGGTAGTAGGCACCTGTAGTCTCAGCTACTTGGGAGGCTAAGGCAGGAGGATGGGGCTTGAGACCAGAGACCCTGTTTCAAAGAAAAAAAAAAAAAGAAGAAGAAGAAGAAAAAACTGAACATGGAGGGAAGAAAGTTTGAACAGGGAAAAAGTCGACCAGGCGAGGTGGCTCAGGCCTGTAATCCTAGCACTCTGGCAGGCAGAGGCGGGTGGGTGGATTGCCTGAGCCGGATCAAAAACTTGTCTCTAAACATAGCCAGGGCGTTGCGGCAGGTGCCTGTAGTCCCAGCTACTTGGGAAGCTGAGGCAAGAGAATTGCTCGAGCCCAAGAGTTGGAGGTTGCTGTGAGCTATAACGCCATGGCACTCTACCAAGAGCAACAAAGTGAAACTCTGTCTCAAAACAAACAAACTAAACAGGGAAAACGTTGTCTGGTATATCTAAGGAGCACAGAAGTCAGGAATGAAGACGACAGAAGGCAGCACTGTGGCTCAAGGAGTAGGGTGCTGGCCCTATATGCCAAGGGTGGTGGGTTCAAACCCAGCCCTGGCCATGGCCAAAAAGAACTGCAAAAAAAAAAAAAAAGAAGACAGAAGAGTGTCCCCAGGCCAGGGATGGACAAATGGAAACTCCCGCTGAACCCAGGGGTTGAGACTGGCACCCACTTGGGCTGGTGAGGACCTGGAATAGGAACTTGCAGTGGAGCTGATAAACAGTGCTATGACTTTCAACAGTAAGACTTAATTTACTGTCCCCTTCTAGCTCTGGGTTCAGGAAATTGGAGGGTCACCTCAGTGTGAGACCTGATTGGGTACATCCAGGGAAATCAGGCAGGAGGTAGCCACGCAGGTACCCCTCTCAGAGCTTCTTGGGCTGGGAAGCAGCTCGTGGCATCTGTTTCTGACAGTTCTCGATTAAAAGGAAAATACTTTATTCCTTTTTTGCAAAGGGAGTTATTTCACAACCCTAGACTCACCTCATTTTCTTTCCTTGGTATTTTTCTCTTTGTCTAATGCTATTACTTAAGAATGTTTTTCTCTTGAACGTTTATAGCAGCTCAATTTACAATCGCAAAGATGGTTAAAACAACGTAAGTGCCCATCAATCCATGAATGGATTAATAAACTATGGTATATGTATACCATGGAATAGTATTTAGCCATAAAAATAAGATGGAGACTTTGCATCTTTTGTATTTACCTGGATAGATTTGGAGAACACTCTCCTAAGTATCTCAAGAATGGAAAACGAAGCATCCCATGTACTCAGTACTAATTTGAACGAGTGCATCAACAATTATAGGCCCACAGGAAAGAAAAACACAAATTCACAAATGGGGAAGAGGGGACTGGGGGGGCTGGGTAAGTTCCCACCTATCACGTTCAATGTAGGGGTATATGGCATACCTCCTAGGTGAAGGACTCAACCACAATTCAGACTTTGGACTTTACCATACAAACCCAAATAATGTAACCTAATCATATGTACCTTCATATTAACTCAGGAAAAAAAAAAAAGAATGCTTTTGTCTATTTTGAGTGTTTGCAGCTTACTAACTTGGGTTACTGGCTCCTGCCCCTGGTTCCCAGGTCTGATATTTAGGCTCCAGCATTACCTGCAGAGACATGGTCCCTCTCACAGCTACCACAACAGACTCTTTCCTGTGATCCAGAGCCACTAAAAATGGCAGCTCGTATACCTGAAGGAGAAAGAAATAAGCATGAAATGTAAATAACAAAACATGCATCTAGCAATACAAAGTCAGACTATCCTATCAGTATCTCTGATAATACAGCAGTTTATCACTATTGTGATAAGCTGAGTCCTATAACACAGGAGGAAGGGAATACATGGACTTACCTCTCTCTCTTCACCCTTACTATATTGTGGGGACTACTTTGATAATCTGTAAATAAAAGGTTTTCATAAAATATGCTACTACATGTGAAAAACTGTCTTTGTTTTCTTTTTCTTTTGTTTTTTGAAACAGAGTCTCTGTTGCCCTCAGTAGAGGGCTGTGGTGTCACAGCTCACAGTAACCTCAAATTCTTGCGTGGGCTCAAGTGATTCACTTGCCTCAGCCTCCCAAATAGTTGGGACTAGAGGTGCCCGCCACAACACCTGGCTATTTTTTAGAGACAAGATCTTGCTCTGACTCAGGCTGATCTCAAACTGGTGAGCTCAGGCAATCGACCTGCCTCAGCCTGCCAGAGCAGTAAGATTATAGGCATGAGCCACCACACCTGGCCATCTTTCTTTCTTTCAAGATAGCATCTCCCTCTTATTGCCCAGGCTGGAGTATAATAGCATCATTATAGCTCACTATAGCTTTAAAATCCTGTGCTTAAGCAATCCTCCTGCCTCTGCCTCTGCCTCCCAAGTAGCTAGGACAATAGAAGAACACCACCACACCTGGCTAATGTTTCTTTTTCCTTTTTTTTAAAAGATGAGGTCTCATGGTGGCGCCTGG